GCTTCGGTGAATAGCAGGAAGTAACTCGCTTTTATATTTAATTCAACAAATGTATGCACAATTTAAAAAGTAAAAGGCTCGTTATAAATTTACATTGAAACTAATCTGTATAAAATGTAATGTTATATCCCATGCCACGTGATGTTATGTGACCGCAGTGGAAGCCGCGGTCAGATGCAAGTCTGCTCCATTGAACCATTTTCTTTGACCAAGGAAGGACAGTGTCCTCATAAGCAAGGCGCCTGGCCTCGCAAGACCACACCTCACAAGGCCAGGTGCCTAGACATTGAGAAACACCCTAAGTCTGTGGGCGACGCCATATTGGATGCCATGTTTCCTTCTACGAATGTCTGTGAGGACAAAAAGCATTTACTGATGGTTACAAAACTTTCACCAATAATAAACAATGTTGTTTTACACATTTACCTCTTCACTAGTTGCCAGTGATGAAAGAGAATCTGATGTTCTTGTTATTTTGCTGGAGGCCACACTCCCAGGGATTTTTGACCCTAATGGACATCCGTTGGTAAAGTCTTATTTGAACATAAAAATAATGCTTGCATGCAGGGATTTAGATATGGACTGCCCCCTATCACCAGGAAACCTACACACTGTCACTGTAAGGTATGAGCAGAGAAAAACGAGAGGAAGGAAAAGACATTGAATTATTACAAAAGGGGACATTGATCAGAAACTGCAGCTAAAAATGGATGAAATTACTTTTTTAAAGGGAGGAGGAGATAGATTCAATGATGGAGCTCTGTTCACAATAAAAAAAGAATGGCACTCTTTCATTTTCTATTTCTGCAGAGATTAATTGATAAATGTACCGCATTAATAATAAGGCTTGCTCTCTCCATTTAGGACATTGATTCACACCTCCTTGGCTTATGGTGTAAGAAACCAATCAATCTTGCTCCTAATTCCCTTTTTTCCCCTTCAGCTCCTGTTTTACTAAATAGATCTTCCTCCCCCTCCAATTTTGGGCAGGAAATAAGGTCGACATTCAATAATGAGCTGCAAAAAAAAAAAAAAAAAAGCTAACAAGAAAGATTGTAAAAAATGATTGACAGATTGATTATTGACAGGGAAATAGAGTGGTTTTGGATGAGCTTCCTGTGTGGCTGCGATATTACTGAGGTATGATCTAACAACTGGATGATGAACTTTGTGTTTACATAATGTTGTGGTCTAGAATAGAAAGAGACAACAAAAAAATGAAAGGAGAAAACAAAGAGCGAGATCCACATAAAATGCTTCTGGGAGCAGCACATGCCTGCTCATCTGTCTGTCTGTCTGTCAGTCTGTGTCTGTCTACATAGCCTTGAAAAGCCCAGCACTCCAAGCCAGACGACCACAGAACTGATGCCCACGCTGTACACACACACACACACACACACACACACACACACACACACACACACACACACACACACACACACACACACACACACACACACACACACACACACACACACACACACACACTGGCCTGGTCTATCCTACGCTATTGATCTGCACCCCACTCTTCATTAAAAAGAAAGATTCAAAGGCAACAAGGAGAAGTGAGACACATTGAATGTGTGTGTTTGTGTGCGTGCGTGCATGCATGCGCGCACGTGTGTGTATGTGTGTGAGTGTGAGTGTGTGTGTGTGCTGAAGTGTAAAGGCACAATCAAGGGGGTTGTATAAGCTGTGCGGTTACATCCTGTACATACTTGTGCTTTCATAAACTTTGTTTTATCCTAAGCTCTGTAGCCTGACTGTGGCATGTATGAGGATGCATTTATCACCAGGTATTAGTAACATTGGGAGCAGCTCTGTGTTACTCTAATGCAGTCTGTCCTCCTAGGGTGTTCCTATGGAAACTCTCTCTGTATATTATTAGACATTCTCAAGTCAACCGCTCAAAATAGCAAGACACAGATCTCATCTGTTGCAATGTGCTCATTAGAGAGAGCTTCAGCTCACACCTGTACAGCATCAGACTCTCAATGTTTGGAGCATATCTTCTCCTTTGGAGATTAGTATAATTAACAGGTTTATTATCACTGAAGTGTGTATGTGTGTGTGTGTGTGTGTGTGTGTGTGTGTGTGTGTGTGTGTGTGTGTGTGTGTGTGCACACATGCTTTGATTTATGAAATTGTACTTTTAGATAAAGAACAAAAACTAAGAAGCAACAAGGATTGTCCAATGCATTGTGATGTATTTAATATATTAGACTGTTATTGAGTCCACTATACAGTAATCGACAAAAAAAAAGTGACATGACCCTTGGCATTGTTGCTTGTTCTGCTTTTATCTACTGTAGCATAAGAAAGCCATGGAAGGCAAAGGTGTTGGCACTGGCCAAAGACATCTCCCCTTTGCCCGAGAAGCCGTGCTTTCCGAACCAAAACGTGCTCTGCTTATGACCTCGCCATCCAGGAGGAACAGCCATAACAAATCCCGGCCTGCAAGTCACAAGTCTTTTACAGTAAAAGGATCGTATTCGGTTTTATACAATATTTTTCTCACTTTACAGATTAATTGCAATCAAAGACCAATGGATGTTTTATCTAAAGTGAATTTAATAAGGCTTGGCTGCTTTACAGTAATGATGAATCCAAATACCTGTTTATTGTTGAAATCAGTTATTTCGGATCTTAAATACACCAAATAAAGCTATTTAATGATTTAATGATGATTTTATTATCAATCATGTCGCATTTTCATATTAGTATATTAACAATGGCAGTTACATCATATTTAGATCAGACAATGAGTGAAATAGTCTTTCACTGAGGTTCTCAGAAATTCAAGAACTTTGCTAATGCCTCCTACATTTTCTGGCCTCTGATTGGTTCGGCTTCAATGGACCCTTAAAACTGAGGAGCGCTTCCTCTTCTTGGCAGTTCCTGACAAAATGCTGATTGGGCACCTCTTGTCCAGTAGATCTCACAACAGAGCACCTTTTAGCAGCATAGAACGGCCCTTTTTCATAAACAAAACAACTATTATTTGTTTTAACCTGCAATGACGTAATCAGACGCAAAACAACCCATGAGCTGCCAGCAGATGCCCGGAGTGTATCTCTTGACCAGCCATGCAGATTCAGAGGGAGCTACACTTAAATGGAATAGTTACAAGGAACCCCACCCCAGAGGCCCAGTGTTCACACTTCCACACTTGTGTCCTTCAATTGAGCGATCCCGACCAGAAGTTCGAATGCGTTGGGTGTCCCGATTCTCGAGTGCCCAAGTTGATCTTTGACCTTTTTGCGCCCTTGATCCGCACTCCACCCAAGCCTGCATCGATACGTATTGGGTAAAGTGTGTTACCCACAATCCATTGCTGCAGAGAAAAGGCGCCAGTTTCTTTTCTGAACATATGTATTTTCTAATGAAAGTAGTTAATTTGAGGACGATTAGTTGGCGCTATAAGAAAATATTAGAAATAATAGTTAATTTGAGAGGTTGTTAGTAAAAATTTTTATTTTTTAAGTATCACATTTTAAACCTAAAATGTTTTTTTTGAACCAGGCTGTAAACATGTTTATTTCTGCTGAGAAATTGGCATTTTTAACATGAGAGTCAACGAGGATTTGCTCACTTCTGGTGTCAGGCCCTGGCAGATGAAGGTGCAACTGCAATTGTTTCCACTTCTGTGCTGGCTTCATAAAATTAGCAGGATTGCAGGGGCTTGGATTGGACATACAGATGTAGGGAGGTGCATTTAACCAGATTTTCTCAGAACAAAACGTTTCTTCATTTGAGTTCCTGTTTTAATTTGAATTTAAAAAGATGAAGCCATAAACCTGGAGAAGCTACAAACTTAAATGAAGGCTGTAAATTGTTAAGGCAACCATAGAAGCGTGTCATTTTTCTTACAGATGCAGAAGGTGCTATTACCAGCAGAACATGTGTCGCTCCATATGTCACACCTTTCTAGCTGGAAAATTAGTACACTGTCAGCGGGGCGCATCTGGGTCTGCTGGTCTAATCCTTCTGATAGCAGCATACGACACACTGACTGTGAGTATCGTAGTTTGATAAAAACAAGATGTAGTTAATGAGGGGAGGGTGGAGAACATAAATGTGTTGCTTCATTAACGACTGAGGCTTGAATTCAGCTTCTTAGGGTACAAAGACTTCATCCAAGACAGACGTTTATGAGATGAAAAGCTTCATTTCTCTATTTCATTGTGACTGACTTGTTATTTTATGCACAATTTAAAACAGTTTCTACATGCATGGGGTTCCATACTGGTTAAACATATGTCAGTGCATTTCTGAGGTGTGGGAAACTTTCAATTTATGTTTAGATGCAGACATGTGACATTTGTAGAGACATTTCCTGCCACATTATTGGATGAAAATGAGCAAACAGGCTTTTTGAGATAATCAAATCAAAATCTATTTCTAATTCAAACTTGATAGAAACATTTTAACGGGCTTTTATTGTGAAATTTGTGTGATCTGACAATATAAGATCATATAAGGATTATAATGTGACAATAATCTACCAAAACCTGGAGATCCTAGAACGTCTATTTTCATTCCATTACCCGTCTGTGGCAGACAGACAGACAGACAGACAGACAGACAGACAGACAGACAGACAGATAGATAGATAGATAGATAGATAGATAGATAGATAGATAGATAGATAGATAGATAGATAGATAGATAGATAGATGGATAGATGGATAGATAGATAGATAGATAGATAGATAGATAGATAGATAGATAGATAGATAGATAGATAGATAGATAGATAGATGATAGATAGATAGATAGATGATAGATAGATAGATAGATAGATAGATAGATAGATAGATAGATAGATAGATAGATAGATAGATAGATAGATAGATAGATAGATAGATAGATAGATAGATAGATAGATAGATAGTCCAGTATTTAACCTTGTGTGTCGAGTTCAAGGACAAACGGAATTAAGAGAACAATGCTTTCTGTAAGGTACAGACACAAGTGGAGGATGGAAACCACAGACTAACCTTTGGAGTGATAGTCTGGCGTTGTGCTGCTGTTGGGCACCTTCTTAACAGCTGACGAGCGATAGATGATGTGTGTCCTGCCTTCTCCTGCTTCCTCCTCTTTTTCTATCACTCCATTTCCTCTCTCCACCGGCTCAATGAAAAACTCCTCCTGTTCTGTCCTGATCATCCCAGCCTGAAAAAAAAGATAATAATTGAATAACACTGAAATTCAAATTTTATCTTCCTTCCACAGCTCCAAAGTAAGTAAGAACATAGTGTAACATGAATTGCATCCAGGATATGAACAACAAATACATGTAAAAGTCACTGCCAGTGACTCATTGGGGTTGACATAGTGATTGCAGATGCACAAGCTTATCGTCAACAGAAATTAAGACTCAAACAAAAAAAGCTAAGAGGTGTGTCAGAAGGGTCTGGTGCCCACGAATTAAAATTATTGTGTGACTACACAGATATGACAAGTAAAAAAGACCTTCGGTAACACTTTAGTTTAGGGAACACAAATTAACCACTAATTAGCTGCCAATTATTATGCATTTTAGTGGACTACTAAGTCTGAACTAGTCATTATTAAGCACTTATTACTAATGCTGTAATTCTAATATTAACAGGCCATAAATTAAGAGTTTTATCAAATAAGCCATTCATAATGGTTTGTTAACTGAAAGTAAACAGTTTATTGCCGATTAATGCACATGCTAATTAGCTCAAATCAATATGCAGCTTTTAATGTAGTAATTCAAGGGGAACATATTCTTGCTTTTAAATGGTTAATTAATACTAAAGTACTAGTAATTACGTATGAACAAAATCTGACTTTAGAAAGGGGAACATATTCTTGCTTACAGGTGGTTAATTGATTGTTGTTTGGGCTCTATTAACTTGAAGTTTGGTGTTGATTTACATAATACCAGAACATAATAGTTTTGGTTATAATGCAGAATAACTATTCCCCTTGTAAAAGCCACATATTGATTTTAGCTAATTAGCATGTGCGTTAATCAGCAACAAACCTTTTACGTTCAGTCAACAAACCATTACGAATGGCTTAATTTGATAAAACTCTTAATTTATGGCCTGTTAATATTAGAATTACAGCACTGGTAATAAGCACCTAATAATAGCTTAATAATGACTCATTCAGACTTAGTAGTCCACTAATATGCATATTAATTGGCAGCTAATTAGTGGTTAATTTGTGTTCCCTAAACTAAAGTGTTACCAAACCTTCATTTGTAGGTTTGAAAGGAACATAATGAGCTTGAATACAACTGAACTTTGTGTGAGCTTGAGGATGCAAACTCTGCACTGCCCCAATACAAAGAGAGACACGGTGGGCAAAACTATGATTTATACCACATTTTAGGCCATTTTGAACCACAGCACCCCTGAAGGTTAATTAGAAGAATGGGAAATACAACCTGAATATTGTGTCAGGCAAATAGCAATAAGGGTCCTTCAACGCTCAAGCATTAGCACCCTTAATTACAAACATGAAGTGTCCTCAGATAGCAATTCTTCAACTGTCTAAGGGTTTATAGCTCGTTTCTGAGTTTTGGTCATGCGGGGAGAAAAGAGAAAAGAAGGGGAGAGAGGTGTTTCGTTCAGGGGCCTTGCAGAGGACCGGAGTGACACCTGGCATCTAAAATGGCCAACACAGACGCAGGAAATGAGACTGTCGCACTCCCAATCCTCAGCTAACACATCCTGTCAGGTAATTCCTCTTGTCTGCCTTTCACGAATACCCTCACAGCACACATCCGCTGTGCGCAAATACAAAGTCATAGCAAAGTACGCAGGACAGGGAGTGGGGGGAAAGCAATAGGGAAGGATGCACGCACAACACACATGCAAAAAGCAGACGCGTGCACGCACATGGGGGAGGGTGTAGACACTGGGAAAATTGCCCGTCAATCTTCCATATTCCATCTGTCTGAATAAGACAACTGGTAATTACCAAGGCAACACACTGCTGTAGAGGGAAGCCACGGGGGAGCGCACACACAGAGGATTGAGAGGCTTTGAGAAGAAGGGAAGCAAAATGAAGGAAAGTAAAACATGAAAAGAAAGAGAGAACAACAATTTGATCACCGCTTGCTTATCTGCTTTTCTCTCAGCTCGACACATAAAGGACGAGATGAAGAGAGATAACAACAATAAAACAGACAAATAAAAAGCCACGTGGAAAATCTACTGTACAAAACTTGATAGTATTTTGTACTCTTTGAAATGTAAAATGTGTTGTTTTGTTTGAAATGTATACTAACACCTTTCTTTGCTCTGTCTTTGCTGTTGTGATGCATTAGTCCTGGACGTTCCTGAACTGTACACCGGTAACCCTCACAACAACGCTGCACACCTTTTTCATGCATTCCATGTATTTATTTTTCTGTTTGCTGTTTTTGAGATCCGTGATGCAGGATTGTTATCGGATCTGATGGATCAGAGATGGTGCATGCATTCCCAGACCAGCATACCAAGCAGTAGGGAGAGGAGAGCCGTGTCAAAGAAAAAAAGATGACATGTGGGACCAGGAGACATGCTTGGATCGATCAGAGCAAGGATTGCGGGGGTGGAGGGTTAGATGGAAAGAAAGTGAGGGGGAGGAAGAACCGGACACTTCCTTTGAAACGGTGATGTGAATAAACCATCAAAGCCTGTGAGAACATTTCCATAGTGAGGGGCATTGTCTTCAACTCGTCAAAAAAAAAAAAAAAAAAAGGAACAGCCAAGTCAAGAGGATTACAGGGAGCCTTGTTCAAATCCAGTGTCCAGAACACGGGAGAGGAATTCAGACTCTCTGGCAGTACACCGCCTGCTGTCCTGAGCCAGCACCAGCAGGGTCACTCAGAGATGGGGTTAGGAGCCAAGAGGCAGAAAGTGTTGATGACCCTGGTGATGGGGCCGAATCAGGACTAGCCTCTGTGCAACTGTCCTTCGTACCTCAGTGAAACATCTCATTTATCACTACTGTCGCTGGTTCTGAGAGGAAAATTAAACCTTTGTCTTCTGGTTTTGTAAAAAAATGATGATCCACTTTATTACATGGAGCTGCAATCAAAACTAAGATCGTTGTAAAAACAAATATTGCTGTGAAGGCGGTGGCCTCAGCCGTAGGAAGGTTCTCCTCCACATAGAAGACCAGGGTTCAATCCCAAGCCTCTGCATTGTGCCTGAAGTGTAAATGAGAAGACTGTCCTGAAGTATTTATCAGTGTATGTGTTAGAACAAAAGTGCTGGAGATGTGTAAAATATGAGTGTCAAAGTGTTAATGAGAAACACTGTAAGGTTCTTTACAGAACCTGGGTGAGGTACTAATGGTGCTGCACAGGTGAGGACCTCTTCAGGGCTTTACCTGAGTGAGGACCATTTACTCTTCTGGGGTTTCCAAACTTTCCAAGACATGGGCCAAACGTTTTTGAGTTTAAAATCCTTCTCAGGGCACAAAAAGGTATTTTATTTTTGAATTAAGGATAATAGTTTGATTGTGAAATGTGTTTATTTGTACTGCTCAAAAGTAGGCCGAGTAGCCCGTCTTTAACATTTACAGCCATCATATGTGAAATCCATGGCACATAAGAAGCAGACTTAGAAAATAGTACTTTTAGCCCCATTGACTCACATTCATTTTTTCATTCTTCTGGGGACCCATGATGTGGAAGTAGATGGGCGTGGCTTAGCCTCCCTATAGAGTCAGTTATTTGTTATGGACAACTCTTTGTGTATTTATTTTTGTTCTTGTTATTCAGAGTAAGTTAGTTTTAGATCACTAAATAAAGAAATCAGAAAAATAAACATGCAAAAAAATAGAGGGTAGAGAAACTAATTAGGACTCAAACAGATTCCATTAGGGATGCATGATATACAGGCATCAACATCAGTACCGGCTCTAAATCTCATATCGATGCATCCTTAGATTCCATAGACCCTTGCTTTGTCAAAGGTTAACTCATTCACTGCCATTGACGACTAAAGTCATTCAAATTCAATTCAAATTCAAATATACTTTATTAATCCCAGAGGGAAATTAGAGAATTCTCATTCATCATTTTAAATCCAGCCTTTCACTGCATTTTTTAAATGTTTCTTTCCAGGGCGGGCCTGGGAGCGAGCCCCTGCACCGTGAGAGTAAACATCGCAGCTCTAAAGCTGATCTTCACCTATATGCGTTACATGTCGCATGATCAGGAAGCAGAAAATGCATGTATTAGGAGATGATTGTGGGATGCTGCTGTGAAAAACGCAAAGTGCTAAACGTAAAAGCTTCTGCAGCTCACAATTTGGCAACGAATTGTGAAAGAATGGAAAAAAGCTTTAAAGACGCTGCTTCTTCTTGATGTTAGAAGTGAGTCTACTCTTTGTTTTGGTAGTTTTGGTGTATACATGGTGATAGAGCACAATGTTCTGTGGACTCTTCAAAAAACTGTAAAAATGCTCAAAACGCTGACAGCCAGTGACTTTCTCTTCATGAAACAGTTGGAATCCTCTAATAAATACTCAGATATCGTTTAGTTTAATTGCAGGATTCTAAAGTTTCCATATTTCTGTGGTTAGTTCCTTTAGGCTTTAGAAAACCAACCTAAATAAAACTTCATGTCCATCAAGTTCACTTCATTCTGTTTTGTTTTAAACGACTGCTGTTGACCCCTTGTCCAAATGTTAAAATAATAAAATACCAAGCAAAAGCAGCACATGTGAGCGCCAAAGATAAAAACAACAACAAAAGAATGTAAAAACTAAAACTAAACATTTCTAGCGCAACATAATCAGAGTGTGGTGTTTGGAGCCGCTAACTGCTAACTGAGGCCTGCAAAGATTTAGGAATGACGTCATTCCAGATGAGATGTGATGAAAGCAGGCGTATGCTCAGATGAAAGGCAACGTTTAACATTCTGAAGGAGTTCCCGAAGGAAAAAGAGTTTAGAATATTTATAAAACGTTTAAGTGAAAACACACTGAGGTTCCTGGAGAGAAGTGCTAACAGATGAGGTCAAGCAACACGTGTATTCAGTTTTAGTTTAAACCAAGGACGCTCATGTCACTTTGATGGACGCAAGTTGGTATGAGAGAATCAGACTCAGGACCGTTATATGTTTTATTTTTCTTTAACTGAAGCAATTATGTTACATTTGTTGAATGGAAAATCATACAGGCCCCAAAAAGTAGAAGAAA